TCCTCGAATTATTGGTAAGTCGCTTGAATCTACCGTTCATCATCCACTCAATACCGTCTTCGACCCTCTTATCCGCTCGGGGAAATACTAATTCAGATTTCGACCGTTCTCCTCTCCATCCACGACGGCAAGAACAAATATTGTTAATCGCGAGCAGCGTATAATGTTCGCGATTTCTACGTGACTGCGCGCGACGCGGGAAAATCGCGGGAGTGGAAACGGCAAAAAGGAGAATTCGCGCGGTGAAAAGTGTGAAATGTTGTCGACGTTGACAAACTAAAAGAGATATCTTTTAGGTACGCCGTATTATTCTTTTGCTTTTCTTTCTTGCACATAAAATGTAAGGGCGTACTTTGTGCCTGACACGTCGTTCTCGCGCACACAAACGCACTTATCGGGAATTAGGCCAGGTTTAGCGCGCATTATTCGACGCGATTTTCAGAGCGTGACATTTTCAATAGGAGCGATTTCCCGCATACTCGAGCGCGCACACGTGTCCACCGGAAATGTTGGCGGCCGTTAACGTGAATTTTATCCTAAATATGTGGGGAATGGCTGTGCGTGATTCGTCATTCGCTCCATTACGGAGTAGGACTAAATTTCGCTACGATGAATCGATATTATCTATCACGTATCTATCTTACCGGGCTGTAGGCGGACATAATGGACTATATGTATAGATTATATATTGATTTATACATAAAAGAGGGTGACACTGTTTTCGTACACATTTGCCGGGGAACACGCGATAAACGCGCGTTTTTAGTTATGTGGAGTACAAGTTAAATTAAAGTGTATACATTACCAAAAGCAAAGCCGCATTTATTAAATTAACAACTGCGAGATATGCTCTCTCAGAGAGATGTTTTATATCTGATTTTATTCGGCGCGTGCACGAGAAATATTTATTTAATGCGCGTCGCATTAGCCCCTCATTACGTAGTTAGCGTATTATTAATTCACGTTTTATAGGAAAGAAGAGGAGAAAGATTTTAGTTTAGTTTTGTTTCTCGTCGCGCCAGTCTTAACCGCCCGACCATTTGTCAGCTTTCTGTCATAGAGGTAATTCTAAGGCCTGGCCAGTTCATAACTTTGCAACTAGAGACTACATATACAAGGTGTCTGACTACTGACACACCCATTCATTAAAGGAAATTGGTGCATTATCGCACACAGTCATGCAGCAATCTTTTTTGATAATTGAAAATTCACGTGATCGTCTGCAAAATGTTAGAGATCTTTTCTTTTCAGTTGTATAAGTACACGACGGTAAAAGTCGCCATCACAACTCATCTACCGTGTCACGCATGATCATTCATCAATCTTTTTTGTTTAACAACTCACAATTTTACATAGTTCTTTGCGAACCGGTGAGGGAACTTTATGTTCGGTTTTATGAGTTTTACCCGCACACAATGGATGTGTCATTAAGTGTCAGACACCCTATATAACACCAGTACGATGCAGGCACCATAAATCTCGGGTATCTCTGGCTACGACAATTCTCTCAATGAAGGAGGCAACGTCGTTCAGAATTAAAGGCTAAACGCGGCGCGAATTAAAGAAGTACAACGGCGGAATCGCGACATTTGTTGGCGTTCGTTCAGTTTTATCAGCGCGTAACTAGATTCATTGCTTAAATGAAAGGATTGTTTTTAGGAGCGGAGAGAAACGATCTGTTGAATTTAGAAGATCCCTTCACGATTTGTTCGGGATAATACGCCAACACTATTCTTATTTCGCGAAGCGATGATCGATATGAGCTTATGTCTGTTATAACGAGATTCGTGTGTACGGGCCATGGCGTTTCATATTCAATTCTTCGAAGGCTTATATATTCCACGTACATATATAAAGCACATAGCCGTTTTACGGTCGACATGTCTCTTCGCTTCGCTATCGCATCCGCGCGATCAGTCATAGAATCGGCTGAAGTCTATATTTCTATGCGTCGTTAAGAGTTTCGGCCAGGGCTATGCTCTCGTGAAAGTTTGAGCCGTGACTTCCACCTACATGCACACATATACGCACACACACACACACATACACACACACAATAGCTACCGGTGAAATATCTCTTGCAGGTCCGCCAGCTGCCGTCGAGTTGCGAAATCGAACAGCCAAATATCCACTGATGCATTTCGTCGCAATTTGATCGCGCTGCTTCGCGCGCTTTCGACTTTAACTTCCCCCTTTCCTCACGGTATCAGAGATCTCTGAGCTTAAAAATCGCGCGACATTTTGACACCGGGAAATCACGGATTTTACGGCCGTTGCGTAAATTATCTTGACCGACGTGAAAATAAAGAGCAGAAAGAAAATAGAAATCGGGTAAATACCGGGGGAAAACTCGTCGCGTGATCCGCGATTAATTTTCGCAGACTTCAACTGAAATTTGTCGAAAGGTTTTCCGTGCCGGCAGGAACTACACTACCAATACAGCTTAATTGACGTATACAAGGGCGTAGCGTCGTAATAATTTCTTAATAAATCAATTTGATTGTCTTATCGCGTACAACGTTTCACATATACGTTGCCCCTCACTGAAAATTATATCTTATAATCTGCTTCACTCGACGCTATTACGCAGCAAGTTGTTCGCTATATTGATCATTAAATTTTCATGAGCGATATAAAGTCGATATTTCATCGTTACATCAAATTGTATCGAGCAGGTTATCTGCAGATGAAGCGAAAATTGGCAAGCTCGAGACATCGCATTGCTCTTCGCTTTTTCTATCTCTTGGCGGATTGTAAAAAATTTAATATTCTTCATATATGTGCCGTCGTTTCTTTCCACTCGGATGTGTCTCTTACATTTTTTATCGCGACCTCAGGGATAATCTTGTTTAGAGGAATAAATCGGCGCGCGCGGAGTAACCCGTCTCAGTTGAATAATTTTTACTTCTTTGCGACACGCTTAGTTTTCTTGGTTCCGCACGGGACGCCATTTCTCTTACATTTTCTCGTGTACACGCCGAGAAGAAGATACTTGAAAATTTAACTTGCGGGATATCAGGTTTATTTCTACGGAACAAAGTTGATTCATGTGAGTAGACCTTATATATTGCTGCGGAAAATTTTTCAAATATTTTTCTCTCCGCGTGCAATTTTCTCGGGATACATATTGCGCGACGTATGCGCTATAGATCGGACTAAACCGTTTTTTATCGGCTCCCTAATGCCGACGATGGCGAGCGCGTCTGTGTTATAAGACGTTGATAGTCCTGGAGATCGATACACCCTCTCGGTCGCGGGGCTGGTAGTCGCGAATACCGGGATGCATTGCGTGCCAGGATTCGAAGTGAATTCCCTGGTTGAGATACGCGTTGAGTTTATTTGCCCCGATGAATTATTTACCGTGCTCTCCCGTGCTCCCGGCGACACTTCATGTCTTCCTTTTCGTCGCGAAATTTATAATTCACCGCGAACGGCCGCGAACGGCCGCGATAACGAGGCGCTGATAAGATGGCTCTGACGCAGCTTCGGGATAATGCCAGTCTCGGGATCAAATGGCGGGATTTTGTTGTCGAAGAAGCGAAGGCACGCGCGCGGTCGCTGCTACACAAACTACTAGGTAGGCCGGCATTAACGCGATTCATCACCCGCTGTGATAAGTACGTTCAGCTCCGAGACTGCCTTTCAATAACGACGAAGGAGATTGAAATTACCCCGTGGAGTAACGCAATTTCTCTCCACCCCTCAATTGCGAGGGGTTGCTCGAATTAACGAATTTTGACGGAAGTCCTTCCGATCTGTTTCGCCGCGCACACACACGTACACGTGTTGTCGGCGAACGGTGATTCGTTCTATTTTCGCGAGGCAGCGAGGCGCGCGTAAACTTACACCGACACACGTCAGGAAGAGGCGGTAAAAAAAAAAAAGAAATTTACGAACGGTCGGTCGAATACAGGGACGATCGTTAAATTTTTGAAATTGTCATGACATGAATATAGATTCGCGGTTATCAATTACACCGTTGACTCTGCGTGTTTTTACGAAGAGACTAACCGCAAAAGGGATTTGCAATTACGTGTTGTTCTATAATCATTTTAGGCACACACTGCGTGCATATGTTAATAATAATAATAATAATAATAACAAATAATATAAATACTGGACAGTCCTGTCAGAGTAATGACTTTCGATTTTGACAGTTTGATGAGCTTCCAACTTCGTTGTATCGAAACTATTTTTTCCACTACGGAAATCTATATACAATATACACACAGTATGTACACATGGCGTGCCTAAACATTTTCTAGATCAAGAAGTGCATGATTTTCGGCGCACATGAATAAGATAGAAGTTGTTATGATTAAGATCATTATAACTAGAGTTATTTATGCGATTTCCGATCTCAAGTATACGAGGGTGGTCTGAAAAGTTTCCGACCTCAACGTGAATAGCAGCACTTGTAAATAAAAGCTAGTGAATTTCGTTGTTCATCTGTTGACAGTTACTCACCGAAGTTTCAGCCATTTTGGACTCGCAGTTGTTATGTAACAGTCGTTTGAGTAAGTTGATGTGAGTGTTTTTGTGAAAATGGACAAAATCGAGTATCGAGCTGTCATTAAATATTTGTTTTTGAAAGGCAATACGCCTACGCAAATCAAAGATGAGTTGGATTCTGTGTATGGGGACTCTGCACCATCATTTAC